TTTGCCTTTTTTTATGACTGTCACACTGGCAGCTGATGGCCCAAAACTAATGCGTCTGGGACCTCCTGCCACTTCCAGCAGCAAAATAGCAGAAACTGTTTAATTCCAACATATTAAATTTCCACTCCCCTCATCCAGGATGAACTTCAGTTTCCCTGTTGGTTGTTTGTCTTTCCCTGCCATGGCAGCCTTTCTCAAGTCTTTGTCCATCATCAGTATCTTTCTGTTTTTACGTCAACTCCCTCTCAAAGTATTAATCCCAAAGCTGTGCTGGGAGGTATTTTTCTAGAAATCTGCCCTCTGTGCAGTATTTCTCATTTAAGTGCCACCTGCTTTCTTGTTGCTCGTGACCTTTATGGTTCACCTTCTAAACTTCATCCTCTCTGACTGAAGTCCTTGTTTCCTCTGGAGTGTTGTCTCTTATGCACTGTGTGTATCTGGGTGAGGATCTACCACACAGGCTTGATCTACAGAAACAACTTATTTTATTTACAGACAGGTTTGCATGGGTATCAACTATGTCTGGTAAGTGCCATGTTGATTTTCATTCTAAGTTATTTATTATCCAGTTGCACCCACATATTTTAATTGCTTTCTTTTCTTCAGACTGTTTTCTGAAGCCTGGGTAATGCTGATGTCAGCCTAGCAGGCTTGTTGCTGCCTGAATCCTGTCTCTAAGCCAAACTCTTCAATTCACGCACTGGATTTGCTGTTGTGGTTGCAGAGAACCTCCCTCCCTTCATAAGGGTCTCTGCAGCCAAAACAGCATACTTTTTCACTGCTGCTTCCAGAAGTCTGGAATAGGCATGATCCAGTCTTTCCCTCACCTCACACATCTGGCTGTCTTTGCAATCAGCTAGTACACCTAAATATTCACAGCTTTAAAATCTATTCCCTTTTCCAAGGACAGCTGGCAAGACATTGAAGTCCCAGATCCTGCTGCGGTGTTGATGTCACACTGCAAGAGAGTAGCTTCAGCTGTGATGGGACAGCACTGAAATCTGGGGTACAGGAGGAATGAAAGGAGCAAGTGTGATATCTTTTTAAGCTCCAGAAGAAAGTCTGAAAGCCCTTGTAGCACAGGAGACTCAAAAATGTGCCTGAGCTTCCTTTCAGGCTCATCTTATTCAGTGATTTCTGGTCAGCGTCTCTGCCTTAGCACAGCAGTTTTGGTTTCCTGCTCCACATCACTCCTGTTCCCTTGCCTCATCGTTTGAAGATTCAGAGGACAAATATGATACTTCCTTCTGCCTGTGTCAGTGAAAAACACTTCAGATTTGGATCACACACATGCACTGTGTTGATACTTCTCACCCAAACAGTGATCCTGCAGTTGCCAAGGGTTTAGAAAGTTGATATGCCTTGGCTAAGTGATGTCCCTGCTTTCAGATGCAATTGTGGCAATGCTAAATTTCCAAGGATTACCACTGCATGTGTTGGAATTTGGGAACCTCAGTAACAAGCTATAAAGTCAGGAGAAAAACCAAGATGCAAAAATCTTGGCAGCTTCTCCATGATGGAATATCCTGCTGTACTCAGGGCCATGGTGCCAAAATGCAACACAAACCATTAATTCACTCACATGGTACTCCCTCCTCAACACTGTCATTTATTTTAGTATTCTTTGGCCTTCCCAAACGTTTTGGGAGTACCAGGGGCTTTCCAGGGATTGGTAAACCCAATAGTGTACCCAAATGGTACAGGGAATGGGATACTTAACTAGTTCTCAGCATGAAAGAGTGGAATAGGAGGGATGTGTACATTCCAGGCAGCGTCTGGCAGCAGGGAGGGCTGGGGCAGGAATGTGTGAGCAGTGATGCTGCAGGTGCTGGGGCTGATGGACACGGGGTAGCCACAGCTTGGGGGGACAGGGTAGGGCTGTGTTGGGTGTCAAAGGCTGATCTTGGTGGGAATGAACTCCATAAAATCACTCTCTCCAGCCTGCTGCTGGCTCAGGAGGGTTGCAGCAGCCCTGGCCTGCCTACCACTGTGACAGCCAGGTGATTCCAGGTGTTTTGGGGATGCTTTGGCCACAGATAGCCTGGATTTGTCTCTGTTCACACAACTGCAGTCACTCTGACCCAGCCTTGTGGAGAATGGACACTCCATCCCTTGGGACACAGCAGATGCTGCTGCTGCCCTCCTCATGCACTGGTGCCTCGTGGAGCTGTGCAGGGCCACAGCTGCATCTGCCACGGGGCCTAACCCTGGCTCCAAGGGTCACCATGACAGCCCAGCCGGGATCCTGGCTGCTTTTCTGCTCGGGATGCTGTGTGTAGTGCGAGCAGACAGGTTCTGAGTGGGGAGACTTCCTGCAGTGGAGCTGTGTAAAATCCAGAAACTCAACCTTGCTCTGGAGGGTTTGGCAGTGCAGGGGCAAGGATGGTGCCATGGCTTGGAGCTCACACGATGCCATCAGGATGCAGCCAGTGCTGAGTGCTGGTGTCTTCCCCTCCCAGCTCAGCACTCAGCCTCCTCTGGCTGCACAGGCAGGGAGGTTTTTTTCCATTTTCTTTTTAACTCTTCCCCTTTTTTTCTGGAAGCCTGTACAGTAAGAGCATAGCAGAGATCCCAAGGGGTTTGCTGCTATGCAGAGAAGACACCTTGTTCTTTGCCAGATCTTGTGCTGGGGAAGGGCTGGAGGAAATCCATTGCACAACATTTCTGCTGGTGCTGTTGGCAAGAGCCCTGCAAAGTGCAGCAGCCACTGGCCAGGCTGGTCCCTCTGAAAAAAAGAGGACTGAAGAGGTCAGAGCATGGCTGTGACCTGCCTGACCTCTGCTGATTTGCCTTCTGTTGAGCCCAAAGAGCCTCCTGCTAAGCCAGCACTCCTCCAGGGCCATGACCTGACGCTGCAACAGGCACTGAAGCCTTGCCCTGGGACATTTCCATGCTGCCTGTGCAGCACCAGCACGAGCTGTTTGCATTTCTAACAGCCTTAAGTCAGCCCTAACCACCCGGGGTCTGCTTCTGTCACAGTGAGAAAGGTTCTGGCTGATGATGCACGTGTTAATCACAAAAACAAACGCCTCCACATTGTTTTTACTAAATATAGGAGCAGTGTCTGCTGCAAGGCACTGCTGGCAGCCCTCAGCAGGGTCACAGTCCTACATCCAACAGGAGGTTATCAGCCCCAGCCAAAGGGGAGAGGGGATCAGGTTTAGTGCTCTCTGTTCACAGATGTGAGCTGCAGTGAGTCAGGTTTTCAAGGTCGAGCTCATTCCCTGTCATTTGCAGAGGGCAGAGCCTGGACATGTGAAATGGGGCTCCTCTGGGACAAGCATCTCAGCCCAGCACTGTAGGTTGGATTTTCTGCTTATCTCCCACTGGCATAGATGCTATTTCACTCTCTTGTGGGGTAACTGATATAGAGGATTGAGGAAGAAACTGTACTTTCTCGTTGAGTCACTTCTTGATCAATCCTGTGCTGCAGGAAATGTCATTTCCCACGGACACGCAAGCGTACAGGCACTGCTGGTGAAATCTTGTGAGGTCAGGCAGTCATTTCCTCCTAATTACAGCTCCAGGAATGAATAATGTTTAGCTGAGACCCTGGTGACTTTGTGCTTTGGAGCAGTTTTCATTTAAGCAAAATACAAGCAGGTCAAAATGAACTCAGGATCTGGATTTTTCCTTCTGGTTATTTTGGTTGTACAGATGCCATCTGGGACTTGTATAACAAATTTGGGGTTGTTTGGTGACCGTCAGTGAATGAAAAGATCCAGAGCCCCAAACTGTCATGCAAAAAGCTTCTGTTAGAAACCTTCACATTGCCAGAAATGTCTTATGGCAGATGCTTTTTCCAGGAACTTGGAGGACTGGAAGATCCTCCCAGGCCACAGTCTCCTGAACAATGTGTCCTATCTTCCCCTTCAGAAAAAAATGTAATTCTCCATTTTAAAACTCATGGTGTGATTCCTTCTGAGGCAGCCAACTCCAGGGCTGCACAACCCCCATGGTTGCAAACCTTGTCGTGTGGAAACTGTCGTGGCATCCTCTGCCAATGGAGAGAGTCAGAGCCAAAAAGCAGAGGGTGGGTGAGTGGTGGGAGAGCTGCTTGAAAGTGTTGCTGCAAGTGAGAGCCTGTGCCCCTGCCATGGCTGGCTCCATGCTTTGGGTTTGGGATATCCAGGCCACATGGTTCTGCCCCTACTCTGCTGGAAACAGGTCCCTGAGGGGACCTCAGGGGCTGAGGAGTGGCAGCTGAAGCAGATGCTTCCTAGCCTGGAAGGTGGTTGCATCCCTGAATAATTTATGAGCATGAGAGCTTGAGCAGCTGTCACTGACTGAGTTTCTGGTGCTGCACTTATGGCTGGCCACATCCAGCCTTGGGTTTGGTGCTGCTCTCCAAAATGAAACAGCTGATCTGCAGGGCAGGGAGGGGGCAAGGGCTGGGGGACAGCCTGGGTGGCTATCTTCAGCTTCAAGCACCAGAGGAGATGCTGCTGGTTTAGAAGGGAATAAAAAAAAATAGCAAATAAGAACTTTGGCTGATTTACCAGTCAGACAAAGCACCTGACCAATATGTGTGCTCCTGTCCATAACTCTGAGCCTGTGGAGGTTCAGCACAGAGCTGCCAGTGTTGGATCTGCCCTTAATCTCTGCCAAGCACAGTGGGCTTCTCACCCCTCACAGGGCTGTGGCAGTGCTGGTTAGGGTCCTGTCTCCTCTGGGTCATTCCCTCGAACATACAGCCTGAACAAAGTGGCATTTCCCGAAAGTATATGGATCAAACTTTTCCTACTTGCTCTTGAAATTGTAATTGTTACATTTATTTATGGTGTTTTATTTGTTAAAAAATAGGTCTGGGCCTTTTGAATCCTAAGCAGATTTTGTTAAAAAGTAATGGGGTGGGAAGAGTGGTGTTTGAGCATCACTTCCAGAGCAAAATGGGTTTGTCTCTTCCTGGGAGGGGCTGTTTTATCCAACTTGAGCATCTCAACAGAAGGTGAGAGAAGCAGAACCTTCTAGCCCCTCTGATTTTCCTCACTCCTTTTCAGCCTCTGAAGATATGAGATCCACCTGGCAAAGCAAGGCTGGTCGCAGCCCACTCCAGGCCCTGTATGAGAGTGACCAGGTAAGGGGCAGGGACAGAGAAGTGGTGGGGTGAAGATCAGGTGGAGCACTGAGTGCTGACCCTTTTTTCACTCCTTTGGTGTGTGGGGCACTGTGCCAGGTCCAGCCACACCCAGGGTCCTTGCAGCTGAACCTCTGGCTGTGTCTAAAAGACAAGACCACACTGCTTGGGGTAGTAACTTGATAACAACTGCTTATGGCCCTTGCTGGTACTTGGGCAAACGATTTAATTATCAGTGGGCTGAGCCATAGCCAGGCAAACCTGGGAGAGTTTGCCATCTGAACATTTCAAAGCCAACTCTGGGCCATCATAGCAGGGCAAGAGCTTCACTGCTGCTCTTCCTGAGCCAATAACTGACAGATGTTTCTATGTATATATGCACACACATAGGTATGTGCACACATGTATGCTTACATAGATATAGCTGGACTCAGCCATGGGGGATTTATAATCCTGAAGCATTTCAGGCCTCTCCATCACTCTGAGCTGTGCCAGCTATAACTGCTGAGAAATGAGCAGCCAGGCACAGTCTGGGCAAAGAATCACTCCCCTCCAGGTGGGCTTAGTGGGTCCCTCTCTGTGCAGGAATCAGGGAAGGTGTCCTGCTTGTCCTTCACAGCAGGGCTTGTGGTCAGAGCTGTAAGAAGTGTTTGTTTCTTTCTGCTGCTTTTCCCCTGGGCAGGCAGTTTTCCCCTCATTCAACCACACTTGCCTTTGCAGGGAGATCTTCACCCACAACTTCCCTGCAGGGAGCCCTGTGGGAAACCACCCTCCAACGGGTGCCATGCCAGTGCCCCAGCCACCAAACGTGCCCTGTGTCCATGGGGCTGTCATCTGCTGCAGCCCCCAAGGGCAGAGAGCAGTGCTGGTGGCCCCTCAGTGCAGTGCTTGCAGTGCCCAATGCAGCCAGATCTTTCTGTATATGTTGCTTTGTGCTACTGTCTAGGTAGATGCTTTTGTGTCTGTAAGCAGCCAAAATACATTTTCTCTCTGAAAAGTGGCAAATATGGACTCCCTTGGCCACGATGCCAGCAAACTCTGATGCTGCTGGAATGTCATGGTGTTATTTCCTTAAAAGTGATATTTAATTTCCCTGGCTTTTAAAGAGAAGGAAATGAAGGGAGCAATTTTGCTCTGAAATAACTGCAAGACATGCATTTATTCCAGTGGGTGGCTGCTGAAAAGTAGTCACATTTATTTGTTTCCATGCCTGCAGACAGTGTCTGTCTGTCTGTCTCTCTGGTCCAATAGTTTTGAATTATGCAAGTGCAGGGAAAGACACCTGAAAAAAATTATATTATTAGAATCCCTCTTTTTCTAAGCCCTTGCAAAAAGGTTTTCCAGTTCTAAAAGCTGACGGGAGGCTTCAAACAAAAGACATTTCTACTGAAAGGTTTGGCTGTGTTGTAAGGCAGCATGAGAATGCTTCTTCAGCTGTGGTTATCACTTCCCTAGGTGCTGTATTTTCTTTGTAGCCTCATAACCAACAATGTCAGAGTCATACCTTGCTGGCAGTTAGCATCTGCTCACCTGAATTTCCTTAGTTTTTCCTTTATCCTTTTTTCCTTTATCATGTCCATGTTGGAAGAAGTAAGGATGGGATGCTTTCTCCTGTCCCTGTCTCAGACATGCAGGTTCCTGGAGAAAGTGGTCACTAAGATGACCTGGACGAGGTAATTTCTTTTGTGGAAATAAGATCCCAAAGGGTCTGAGTGTGGTTCATCCCTTGCAGAAGGAGCTGTTTGCCCAGATGTTAGTGTCTCTTTGAAGATGTCAGGTCTGCTGGATCATCCACAGAATGGGCAGTTTGTCTTAGTACCCCCACTCCTGGCAGGAGGTTTACAAACCCTTACAACTGCCCCTCAAAACACCTCATTAGCCCCCGGGGAGCAGTGAGGGAGCACCTGAAGCCTGGCAAAGGGTGTCCTTTAGCATGCCTGGGCCCTGACAGCTCTCAGCAGCCGTGCAGGCACCAAGCCTGCCCCTGCCATTCCTCTGGAGCTTGCCAGATCTCTGCAGCTGCAGAGCTGTTTGCTGTGGCACCTCTGACACTGGGGGGGGACTGTCTTTACGGCCCCAAAGTGGGAGCCACTGTGATGGGACATGGTGGTCACTGCATGGCATTGAAGCCACAGCCCTGCGGGGTCAAGGCCACCCCAGATTAGTGGGTGCTTGGTGCTGCCACTCCCAGCCAAGGCTGTGGATGTTGCCATCAATGAGGAACACGGAATTTCCCGACCCTTGTGAGCAAAAGAGGGACATAGTGGGCAGGAGGAGGAGGGGATCTTCCCCATCTGACTTCCTGGAAATGGTTTCCTTCCCCAGATGTTCTAATGACATTTTGGGATTTCTGACAAAAGCCATGACAGGAAAGGTCATGTCCCCAGATTTGCAAGGGGTTTTCAGCTGGGTCAGGGGTTAAGGGACTCTGGGCTTCTGGTAAGCCACTGCAGCAGCTGCCAGTTCTTGATGCAAGGGTCAGAAGAGTTAAAGGACCATATGTTGGTTCCTCATCCCTGCAGCCAAAGGAAGCTGTGACCAGAGCTGAGCCGTTGGACTGGCCTGTGTGGAAGAAGTTCCTCAGGAGAAGGAACCCAAAGCTCTCGAGAAGGGCCCCAGCACCACCTACTCAGCCCCTTGCTCCTCACCATCACACCTGCCACCTCACCTCATCTCCAGCTCCCTTCCTACTCACCAGGCTTTGATCATCAGCATTAGAGACCATTTCCATTTGCCTTTCCTTGCCACGACACTCAGGCTGTTTCCATCCCAATGCCCAAATGTGTGTGCCACCTTTCTGCCCTTGGCTGGGTGTTCACAGCAAGCACGTGTGTATGGGTGTCAGTGTGAGGCAGCAATGCCCCATGGCAGCACGAGGTGTGCAGGGCCGTGTGCCAGCAAACAGGCTGTGCTCTCTGTCCCTGGGGCCATGCATCCCCAGACTGGTGTGAGGGTGAGCACGTTAGCCCAGAGTGTGTTTCTGCTTTTAAAAAAATGCTCTGTTATTGACCCTCTCTGCACCACCTGCTCTTCCCTCATCCCCTCCGACTTTTCTCCTCATCACATTTTGTCCTTTCTTTCGATGCCAGCCTGTCCAAAATTAAGTGCACCAAATCGTGTTCAAAGTGAGCGCTGTCCAACATCCCACATGGGTGACTGACCAACCCAGTAAAGGGGAGGCCGTGGGGACAAATGTGGGCCAAGTGTTGTGCGTAGGCCACAGTCAGCTTGGGCAAGCTGGTGACCGTCTCTGTTGTGTTTTTTCCCCCCAGTTTGAGCAGTCGTCCCTGCAGGCAGTTCACCAGCAGAGACGGGAGATGTTGAGCAACGTCTGCAGCCGTTACACGCGCAAGCGGCGTCTCCTGCAGCCGGACGACTTGCGGCACTTGGTGGTGGACGACACGCACGGGCTGCTCTACTGCTACGTGCCCAAAGTGGCCTGCACGAACTGGAAGCGGGTGATGATGGTCCTGACGGGGCAAGGCAAGTACAAGGACCCCTTGGAGATCCCCGCCCACGAGGCCCACGTCCCCTCCAACCTGCGCACCCTGTCCGAGTACAGCGTTCCCGAGATCAACTCCCGCCTGCGCAGCTACCTCAAGTTCGTCTTCGTGCGGGAGCCCCTGGAGCGCCTGGTCTCGGCCTACCGCAACAAGTTCACGCTCAGCTACAACACGGCCTTCCACAAGCGCTACGGCACCAAGATCATCCGGCGGCACCGGCGCCAGCCCAGCGAGCGGGCCCTGGAGCGCGGCGACGACGTGCGCTTCGAGGAGTTCGTGTACTACCTGCTGGACCCGCGCACGCAGCAGGAGGAGCCCTTCAACGAGCACTGGGAGCGGGTGCACTCGCTCTGCCACCCCTGCATCATCCACTACGACGTGGTGGGCAAGTACGAGACCCTGGCTGAAGATGCCAACTACATCCTGCAGCTGGTGGGGGCCGACACGAGCGTCAAGTTCCCGGCTTCATCCAAGACCACCAGGACGACGGACGACATGACGGCCCAGTTCTTCCAGGACATTAGCCCTTTCTACCAAAGGAGACTCTTTAATTTATACAAAATGGACTACTTGCTATTCAATTACTCCATCCCCTCGTACCTCCGCATCCGATGAGGCAGGGGCTGTGGGGGAAGAGGTGAGGGAGAGCTGGATAACTCTCATCTTGCTACAGTTCCTCTCCTCCTACCTTGTGCTCATCTCTTGATTGACTTCTTCCCTGTGCCCTTGTATTAAGGTCTGCTCCACCTCCTGATGCCTTGTTCGTGCATGATCTCGAGGAAGAACACTTCTCAAAACACTGGGGCTGGAGCTTTTCCTTCCCTTTCCCTCACAGCCTTCAATATCTACAGGGAATGGTGGTGGGACTGGACACTTCTTGCCTTGGTTGGGGACTTTTAACTAAGAGAATCCTCCATAGAACCAAATCTTGGGAAGGCTTCTTTTTTGGGCAGGATCCCTTCAGGTCTTTCTTCTCCTTACTGGGCTCTTTGGGGGCAGACATGGAGTCTCAGGGGTCAGAGTGGAGTGTATCAGAGACTTGCATAGAACCAGAAATAAAGCAATAATTTAATGTAACTTTTTCCTTTTATTTAAAATTGCTCCCACCTTTTCTTTTTGTCTTGTTGTCCTCTGTCCTCATCCCACTTTCCACACCATCCCCTGCTGAGGGGGACATAATACACAGAGGTGTGATACTCTGACCACATTTTTATCCCGGGGGGATTTTTTTGTTCCTCTCCTTCCACATGTTCTCAGTTGGGGTGCAAAATACTCCAAAGATAGAGAGGAAAGGCTTGCAGCAAGTCCTCAGTGCTTTCCCCTGAGCTACCACAGCAGAGCACTCAGTACCTGTGTGTCCATGTCTCTGGATTTCTGGTCAAAGCCATTAAATCCAGGCCCCACACCTCCCATTTTTTGAAAGCAGGTGATAACAGTTGTAAAGCCATACAGACAGCATGGGTGCAGGTGTCTGCTCTGATGAAATCACATCGTCCACACTGTCCTCCTGCCCATGGTTCTGTTGGTCAGGCAGGGCCCTGCAGGCAATGCTGGCTTCTCTTCCCATGACAGCATTGGCTGCTCCTGTGTGCAGCCCCTTTATAAAATTTATGAAGTGTTTGGGGGAGCACTGAGCTGGGATGTGGGAGATTGCTGTGGTAATGGAGAGGTAATGCTGGACTGGGAGGCCAGAAGAGTCATTTTGTGTGTGTGTGTGTGTGTGTGTGTGTGTGTGAGAGAGAGAGAGAGAAAAAAAATTGAGGATAAAAACAGGGAGAGAGACACCTAGAGGGAAATAGTCCTTTGCCTGGTTGTCTTTGGATGATCATTCCTTGAAGAAAAAACAGGGAGGAGAGGGTGAAACACAAAAGAATATGACAAACCGAGCCCTAGGATTTTAAATTAAAACCAGCCCATATTTCAGTCTTTCCTCTTTTCTATTTGGCTTTGGCTTGCTGGCTGCCTTTGTAAACAAACACACTGGTAATAGATGCTGTAGAGTGTGTCTGCTGGCTTGGCTGCAAACACTTGACTTATTAGTGCAATACAATGGAAGGTTTTATAAAACCACAGTGCTCTCAGTATCTGTAAAAGAATGGTGTTTCCATCTAAAAACTTTCAGCTGTTATATCTTAACCTTTTTCCTCTCTGCCTCTGACTGGCATCTATATGCTGACACTCCCTCCTTGCTTGCTCCATTGGAGATTGGCTTCAGCAAAGCAATGAAAAAGAAAAGTAAATGAAGCTGCTGGTGATCCTGGCAGTGTAAATGATTCTCCCAATCTGCACTGGAGATCTTGAAGAAATGGCCTTTCTCATGCTATCTTGGTATCTCCCTGTCTAGCTGAAACACAAGACACAAAAACAGATTATATGATGCAACAAATTTCATCTGCAGCATTCAGGTTTGGAGTGCATTACTCCTGCTTTCTCAGGAGTCTCGTGTTCGCTGCTTAGAGCTGCCTCTGCTTGGAAAAATCATTGTTCAAATCACTGCAACGTCTTTTCATCACTTTTGGTCATGAATCATAATTTGGGGTCAGATGAAGGGTCATAAAGGGATGGATTTTTCGACGGATGGTTGTTTTTATTTTTCCTAAATACTGTTGCCTGCCAGTACCTCTGAAGAGCTGATGGCACAGTGAGTGGCAAGGACAGATACACCCACTCCCAGCTGTGCTGTCTGTGGGTGTTTAGACAATATCTGACTGGCTGGGAGCCACTGGGCTTTCTTTGGTGTGCAAGTGAGGGAATAGAAACCTCTGGGCTTTGTTCTTCAGCCAGGTGGTTTCTAATCTTTCCTGCAACTGTGGCAATGGGGAGGTGGTCCCAGCTGTGAATGGCTGTTTGAATGGCAGCCTGTCCTGGCATCCCCATCAGACCTGACCCACTGACCCAGTCAAAGCCCAGCCACACACGAATGCACCAAATGCAGCCCTGCGGCCTTGGCCATGAGCTTCTGAAGGCAGGACCCTGTAATGGTGTGTTTTGGGTCATTTAGGACCCTTTGAAATACCCACCTTTGGCCTGTTTCTATAAAATCCCAACAGCCAACATCCACAATCCAAACCACTTAGGTCATACCCTTGGCTTCCTCTCTACCTAAATCCAAAGCTTTCCAAAGGAAAACCTAACCATGCAAACAGAAAAGAGGCACTTGGTATTTCTGAAGCAAACACCTTCAGCCTGGGCTGGAGCTCTCCAGGACAGGAATCGTTCAGCCCGTGCCAAAGCTGAATTGCTAGGACCGGGATGTTCCGGGGCCAGCTCTGGAGTCGGGATGCTGCGGGACGGGGGTCAGGATGCTGCGGGGAAGGGATGCTGCGGGTTCAGAATGATGCGGGGTCAGGATGCTGTGAGACCGGGATGCTGTGGGATCGGGATGCTGTGGGGTCAGGATGCTGTGGGGTCAGGATGCTGCGGGGTCAGGATGCTGTGGGGTCAGGATGCTGTGGGGTCAGGATGCTGTGGGGTCAGGATGCTGCCGGGCTGGGGCCGGAGCTGGGCAGTCGCCGCCCTCGCCGCAGGCAGGGTCCGACTCCTGCCGGTGCGACCGAAAGCGCTGCAGGACGGGAGCAGGACGGAGCTAGGAGGACCCCGTGTGACCGGCGATCCCAACTACAGGCGCTGTAATTCCCTGTACGGGTGCTGGGAACAATTTCTCTGAGGGTTCCTGGTTGGTTGAGATTATTTAACTGTTTCACTGCGTCCCTTTTTAGAGGAGAAAAAAATCAAGGAGGCCTGGACCATCTCTGAAGTGTAATTGGATTTGGTTTTCTCCTCCATTTGGAAACGGGAATGTGGCAGTGGCTGATGTGCAGCAAGGGCACGAACTACAAGGGGATGCCTGGGGGTCTGTCCCCCCAGGAGCAGGACAGGGCATCATCCCCCCAGCCCTGTCTGAGCGCTCCTCTCTGCAGGGAATGTGACCAGCACAAGGTGCCAATCCCGGCCTCACCGAAGAGAGGATCATGTTAGTAATTTCCCCCCAGCCCCCTGGAATGTTCCCATCCTGGCCTCCATCCAGGCTGCAGAGCTTGGGGACAAGAGACTAAATGAGTCAGGTTGGTCCTGGAGTCTGCCCCAAGGCTACTGGGGGGCTCTCAGGGACACAAAAAACAAGAGCAGCTTCACTTTGATATGTTCACGTGTGCACAAATATACAATAAAATAATGATTATATTACAATACATAATAGAATTACTGCTGGGTCAATCTACATATTATGTATTGAGAGATTACATTTGTATATGGTTATAATACTTAACAGATATTTGGCTTATAGTGTGTCTGTACACCATGCCATTTATTATAGAAATACTCATATACCCCGCAGCATAAAAGAGAGAGTACCTTCCCTTGCTGCCCTATTGAGCTTTGCCCAAGTCCATCGTGGCTTAGGAGTTAATGAAGAGCCAGACCCTTCCTCCAAGTGCCTCCAGCAGCTCCAGCCTTCCGTGTGGTGGGCACTCTGCCTGTGCTGTGGGTTTTCTGTGCTATGGAGCTGCTGGCCCCATCCCTCATGGCCCATGTGAAGCTGTTGAGTTTCTTCTTCCAGTGGAACAAAATGGAGCTTCAGTGATCAGGAGGTTTCCTTCCAGACTTTCCTGTGCACCACAGATTGGGTTATTTACCAGCTGGAGGATTAAATAGACTTTCATTGAAGAGGGAAAAAGAAAAAAGGTGTCTTCAAGTATGTCTTGGAAGCAGTGTCTCCCTTGAAGGAGGCTTTTCAGACTTACTGTGTTTGCTGGCTGGCACTTTGCTTGTCCCTAGTAAAGAAGCTCCATCTCACAGAGAGTTTCTGGAAAATTACTGTGTTGGGATGGAGGCAGTGAGTGGAAACAGTGGGGGGAGAAAAAAAAAATTATTTGACTGTCACTGAAAACAAACCCCTGTTCCCATCTGCATCTACAGATAGTGACAGCCCCTTTGCCTGCAAAGAAAAGCCCTTATGCAGCCAGGAATGGGGGAGCCCCTGACTGACTTTCCTCCCTAGCTCAGCTGGGATCTCCCCAAGGTCCCAGCAGCCACCCCAGCACCCCAACACATGTGGTGGTCCAGGGCAGGCACCCACCCCTTCCCAAATTCCAGTGCTCTTCCTCAGCCCCCATCCCACAATACTGAATGAACCTGAGATTTAGTTTGTTGGGGGACAGCTAGAGGCTGATGTAGGAGTGAACCTACCTGCACTGCTAATACAGTGGGAAATAAAACCATGGAACATTACAAAAAAATATTATATTGTTTCACTGCCCACTACTAGAGCCTAGATCAGTTGGCTGATGGCTGCACAAGCTTCAAAAATAGCCAATCTCATTCTCTGCCAACATTCCACATTTTCCTTTATTCCCTCTAAAGATTACAACAAGGTAAGCCTTCCATAAGCATCTCACAGCATCTCACTCCAAGACCAGCACTGAGCCCAAAGGGGCAGGTCAGCAGCCAAGGAGAAGAGCAGCAAGAAAGAAGCTCTCTTCTTCCACCTTCTCCTTTTTTAAGGCTCTTGCTTATCTGGGAGCTGTGAGGACTAAATATAAATAAAAGTCACTGCCAGCTGAAACTGAGATGCTGGTGCCTCTGGCAGGGTGGGTGAAGCCCAGTGAGAAGCTGGGCACAGTAATGACACAGACACAGCAGCAGAGAAGCCAGGCCCACTGCTGGCAGTGATTTCTGTGCTGGGTTAGACTGAAGACAGAAATCACTATGAAAAGTCCCCACCCTGCCTGGGCTCTGCTACCCAGACAAGGCTGTTCTGAAACTGAGATTTGTGGAGGAAAAAGGAGGCAAACAACCCCATCCCCAAATCTCCTCCCTGACCAACTCACTCCAAGACAATACCATAGGGAGCATAAAACCAGGTGGGTCCTGCTGTGATGTACTGAAAATTCTTAGAAGCTCAGGACCCTGCAGGTATTTAAGCATCAAATTTCTGCTTTTAAGGGGAGGGAAGGGGGAGGATGCCTGGACAACTGAGGGGCTTTGGCCCTGCTGGGATGGCTGGGGCAACTGGTGCCAGGGGACAGAGCAGTGCTGCCCACTCACTGGAAGGGCTGGGAGTGCTTTCTTAGAGGAGC